CTTTAGAATTTAAGGAATAACCCAGAAAAATTCCTTCATCACTTTTAGCATCAAATTTGCCAAGATTTTCTTTACCGTTGTTTAAAACAAAACATTTACATCCAAAAGGATGAAAATAGCTAATGTTAGGCTTTTTATTTTTGAGAATTTCATATGGAGTTTTCTTTAAAATTGGCCTAATCATTACTCGATTTACAACATAACAAGCGGTATTTGTGGCTTCCGCCCAAAAATATTTTGGCAAATTATTTTCACAAAGCATGGTTCTAGCCATTTCTTCTAAAGTTCGATTTTTCCTCTCAACAACTCCATTTGTTGAGGGGTTCTAGGTGCTGAAAAATTATGGCTAATACCATTAGAATTACAAAACTCAATAAATCCAAGATTTTCAAATTCAGTTCCATGATCACTTCTAACACTAGTGATAGAGTAACCTTTTTCATTTTGGATTATTTTTTAAAATGTGATGAAATTTTCTAATGCTTCATCTTTAGTACTTAAGAATAGAACCCAAGTGTATCTAGAATAGTCATCTACCAAGACAAAAGCATATTGTTTTCCTCCCAAGCTAGTAGTTCTAGTTGGCCCAAAAAGATCTAAATGGATCAATTGTAATACTCTACTAGTTGATACATCATTAATAGATTTAAAAGAAACTCGTTTTTGTTTTCCTTTAGCACAAGCATCACAGATTTTATCATTATCAAATTTAAGCTTAGGCAACCCTCTTACTAAGTCTCCTTGAATTAACCGTTGCAAAACACTCATACTAGCATGACCTAGTCTCCTATGCCATAACCAACTATCATGCTCATCATTAGCAACTAGGCATAAATTAGTCATATCAATAGAATCTAAATGCACCATGTAAATGTTTCTTATTCTATGACCAACAAGCATAATCCGATTAGATGCAATGTCAATGACTTTACAACCATTAATTTCAAATAAGACATTGAATCCTTTATCGCATAATTGACTAATACTCAATAGATTATGCTTTAATCCATTCACATATAAAACATTCTTAATTTGTATGGAAGAGGTATTACCTATTGTACCAATACCTTCAATGTGACCTTTTGAATTGTCTCCAAAAGTCACTTCTCCTCTATTTTTGGCGTTAAGCTCAATGAACCGGCTTTTGTCTCCGGTCATATGTCTTGAGCATCCACTATCAAGGTACCATGAATTTGAATTTGTTTCCCGTGCCTTGTAGCAATGCTCCTTTCCCTACAAACATAGATTAATTTTTGATTTTTGGTACCCAAATTCTTTTGGGTCCATATTCATTAGTTTCCAACATCCTAGTCCCCTTAGGTATCCATTTGTGTAGGATATTTTTATCTTTAGTAGTAATGAGTTCTTTAGGAACCCACATACTTCTAATGATTTTTCCATTAGAGGTTCTTTGGGGACCTCTATGATTGTAGTTTCTAAAACTTTTTCTAACAAAGTTGGATTTTGAATTTCCACCTTTTTCAAAATGTTTTGTTCCAACTTTATCAAAAGAAGTTTTAAGATCATCAATTTTCTTTTGATGATCATCATTGATCTTTGAAAGTAAATTTTGCAAATCTAAATTTTCTTTTCAAACTCTTCTAGTTTGATTTGCAAATCTTTGATTTTACTTTCAAGATCGTTGTTGGTTTTGGATATGAGTTTGTTTTCATTTTTTAATTTTGAAACATCATTTTTATATTTTAAAAACAATTTCTCATAATCCGAAGCCAACCCATTGTATTCCTCAAATAACTCATCATAAGATAAATCATCAAAATCGGATGAGTTAGAGGTTACCTTAGAATCTTCCCCGAATGCCATCAAGCACAAGTTTGCTACTTCTTGTTCCTCTTCATCGGAACCTTCTTCATCGCTCCATGTAGCCACATGAGCCTTGTGCTTATTCTTTGATTGACCCTTTTTCTTCAATTGTGGGCAATCATATTTGACATGCCCCGGCTTTTTGCATTCATAGCAAATGATTGGGTCATTCTCTTTTGGTTCATTTTTGAGGCCTTCGTTTCGTTTGAATTTTCTTCCTTGGTAAGGTCTCATCATTTTTCTGAACCGTTTGGCAAACAATGCCATTTCCTCGTCATCATCATCATTATTAGAATCACTCTCATCTTTTGTGGATTTGAGAGCAACTCCAATATTTTTCTTCTTCTCCTTTTCCTTTGGTGTCTCTTCAACTTTATCAAGGTCCACCTCATCTTCGAGCATCATCTCATGAGTGAGGAGTGAACCGATAAGTTCTTCAAGAGTTAAGGACGATAGGTTCTTAGACTCGATGATTGCCGTCTTCTTTGATTGCCATGATTTTGGGAGGGAGTAGACTAACTTCCTCACAAGCTTTTCATTTGAGATGATCTCTCCATATGATTTGAGACCATTGACAATCGTTGAAAATCTATTCGTCATAGCTTTGATGTCTTCATTTGGTTTCATCCTGAAATTTTCATAGCTATGCGTTAGAATACTAATTTTTGATTTCTTTACCTCATCTGTACCTTCATGTGTGACTTGAAGTTTGTCCCATATTTCTTTGGCGGTTGTACACGATGAAACTCTTCCGTATTCATCTGGTCCAAGAGCACAAAAAATAATATGGATGGCTTTGGAGTTGAGCTGGAACATTCTTGTCTCTCCTTCACTCCACAACCTTGGATGAGTGAGAGGTTTGATGTATCCTTCTTCTACAGCATTCCATGCTCCCATGTCACTTGCTTGAATGAAGTGCATCATTATATTCTTCCAATAGGCATAGTTAGCTCCATTGAAGAAATGAGGCTTGTTGACGGGCATCGAATCGAGACCGGAGTCGAAGTTTGAAGCGGAGGCCATTGATGACTTTAATAATCGATATAACTCTTCCCGAATCGACTCAAGAGGCGATAAAACCTTCAAATGAGTTAGGCTCTGATGCCAATTGTTGAGTTAATCGATTGACGAAATCGGCCAAGAGGGGGGTGAATTGGCAATTAAAATTTTTGTGGAAGCTTTTGCAGAAAATTGAAAGTAATTGCACAGCGATTTAAAGTGGTTCAACTTTCTCAAATAAAGTCTACGTCCACTACCTTAGCTATCCACACTAAGGATTTTCCAACAAATTCACTAATTTGTTCTTTCTTTTGAGTCCAAAGAGATAACCTTACAATTCCCTCAAGAGTATACCCCAACTCTTGAGAACACTCTTTTTCCCAAAGAGAAGATTACAAATTTGCAAACTTACAAGAAAACCTCACAAGGTAAGATGTTTGCACAATTCTAGAACAAAGAAAAGAACACTCAAAGATGAATACAATTGAGCACAAAAAGTGTTCTTGAAAGCAAAATGAATATTGAATGAAAATAGGCTTGAAATGCTCAAACTTGAGGTTTGATGCTTTCTCTTTGATTCTCTCTTGATTCTTGTTGCTTGATGTTTCTTGTTATTGATCAATGACTTCTAAGCTTGCTTAAATACACATTGGATCACTTCTGAACGTTGGGGATAATTAGAGAAGATATTATAGTCGTTTTAGTGTGAAAACATTTAATAAAACAGCTTGGAGCGTGGGGGGAATCGGTTCCCCCTTGAAGGGAATCGGTTCCTAAGTGTAAAATTCAAATATTTCGACCGTTGTACAAGGGGGGAATCGGTACCCCCTTGGGGGGGATCGGTTCCCTCCGAGCATACTGGAATTCTCGGAACAAAACTGTTTAGGGGGGAATCGGTTCCTCCTATGGGGGAATCGGTTCCCTCCGAGCATTCTGGAAATCTCGGAGCCAAACCATTCAGGGGGAATCGGTTCCTCCTATGGGGGGGAATCGGTTCCCTATGAGCAATCTGGAATTTTTGGCTTTGAATTGGTTCGAAATACTTTGTAAGATTATTTTGAAATTGTTTTATGATTAAAACTTAATTTTACACTTAAGTAAGGATTAAAAATAATTTTTGAAATATTTGGAGTAATGTTTTGATATTCGAATAGTTATATCGAATATACTTAGAAAATCATTTGGAAAATCTTAAAATCCATTTAACTTAATTTGTTATATCGAAATATCAAAATGTTTCAACAAAGGCCTTAGTTGCCTGGTAATAGAAAAGATCATTTTCTAAGTTCCACATCTTTTTTATTTTTTTTTTAGCTTTTAGCTTTGAACTTATGACAATAATGCTGCTGCAATCTTATAACTGAATTACTGTATTATTTTTCAAGTTTCTAATCATAATCCATCTCTGATTCTCTGTGTTGCACTTGCCTAGGAGTTATTTTTCAGCATATTTATTATTTACTAATAAAAGAACCATCAGATTTGAATTATTAATAATTTAGTCCAATATTCATGTAAACGATAACTGTATAGCCTGTTTTCTTTATGTTTTTTTATCAGTGTTTTTTCCCCTTAATAGTATGGAATGATTATAAGATAACGTATGTTCAAGACCTTTTTTAATTATTGACAATGTACATATGCTCTACAAACGTAAAAGAAAGCTTTAATTCTTCTGGCTCAATAGTAGGTAGCAACATCTTCCTTGCTTGGGAATCAAAATCACCATCAGAGGGCATAGATAGCCAAGATATAGGTATTTCTGATCCTCCCATTCGTCTGCAACTCTTTAAATAAATCCATAATATTCTCTTATTTAAAAATCAAAGTATAATACAAATGAATATAATTATTTGACTTTTTTATTATGTATTACAGCATTAAAGCACTAAAATTATTTATTTTATCATAAAAATTTGAACATATCTTCTAATTATTATTATTATATCCACGAATAAATAAAGTTTTTTAAAAAAAGCTATTTTTTTACAATTTTTAGAATTATTAACATTTGTATATAATTTATAATACTTTATTATTTTAGGATTTTTGAAATAACTTTTAAGATATTTTAAAAAATTTTAACTTAAAATAATTTTTAAGAAGAAAATCCATTCAATCAACTACTGTCTCGTCAAGAAGCTTAATAACAAAATTTTCAGCGTTATTTCTTCAGAAACAAGATATGGTTTACCAATGATAAAAGGAATAATTTGTTAATTAATAAAACACAAGTATCATCTGGCTAAAAGCACGCCTTCAGAGCCGTCTTCAACAAGATGATCATATCCACTTCGAACAAAATCCTTACGAAATTCTTCAAATCGGCCAGCCTTAATCGCTTCCCTTATCAACCCGAAAAACCCCAGAAAATGGTGGGTATTGTGTCTGCAATTAAGGCTAAAAGGTTATTTCTCTTCATAGTGGAAACCTTACCGGTAACAATTAGGTTTGTTTCAAACGGGACATCGACAACTATCGAAATACTTTGAAAACTAGTAAACATAAAATTGATTGAAATTGAAGCATGCAACAACAAAAGGAAGAGAGAAAAGGCGTACATTTCCAGCAGAGTTTGTGCCAACATTTCGTGAACATTGAGTAGATGATTAATGTAGGCACGGGTGTGATTTTGGCATGTATAACACGTACAGCCTTCAACGATCGGTGTTAAGTCTTTCCTAAACAAGGTAAACACCAAATTTATAATAAGATGCAAGGTGCCTCGAACATGGATCTCACTGAGATGCAAAATTCGTACATAAGGCTATAAACTCCCACTGAGATGCAAGATACCTCCTACAGCTGATTAACATGGATCCCAAATCTATTGCAAACAATGACTCATCTACATGTATAATTCTCAATTCATCCTCAACATTTAGTTATAAATGTGACAGCATATGTATAATCGATGTTACGATTCAACCAAGTATAAATGCATCCACAGGAACATGCATGGTTACAGAAATTGTAGTGGAAGGCAAATCAAAACCTCTATAAAATATTAATCTTTAACTGAACCAATGAAATTTCCATTTTTAAGAAAAAGCATAAGAAATTAAAAGAACGAAGATATCTTGTAAATTACCTGAACACTGTGGCTCTCAGATTAATTTTTCTGGGGTCACTTCCTGCATCATTTGGTGCAAGGTTTGATGCATTTATCCTTGCTCTATCTAGAGGAAAGGTGAGTGCAAAGCCTTCAAGAGTAAGATGGTAAATATACCTATAAATAGTCACGAAAAATTAACTTCAAATGCTTAGCAAAGTACAAAGACAAGTGAACTGAGCTACGTACGTCGACTCAAAAAGGTCAACACCTGCAGCAACGCCCTGCAATATTTCCTCTATGACATTAAAATACAAATTAGTTCTCAATGACGTGTAAAAATACAAATGTGCTTTTTCAAAACATAACTCGGAGGACTTCTGTTATTCTGACTCGTTAAAATGGGAGCTGCACCAGTGTCGACAAAACAAGGATAATGGTATGGAATATGGGTCAGATTCTGCCGGGCTCTTGGTAAATGGGTGAGAAGAAGAAGAAGAAGAAGAAGAACTTGGAGGACTTCTGTTACTCCGACTCATCACTATGGGAGCTGCAGTCGTGTCGACACAACAAGGATAAGGGTACGGGATATGGGTCAGATTCATAAGATTCTGTCGGACTCTTGGTGGGTGAGAAGAAGAATAATTGGATTTAAGAAAATAAATCAGTCCCTGTATTATCTCCTCGTCTCGAATCCAAGATCTATCAATAACTAAATTATATTATTAAATACCATTAACTAAAGATTTCTTGACCACTACATCTCTATAATTCTCATTAAATTACTTGCCTTTTGTTTTATGCTTTTAATTAGATTAGTTATGTTACTTTTTGTTAATTCCTTTATTTATACTTTACCGAGTCTTAGTTGTTAGACTTAATATTTAGTTAGTTTAATTAACTATGTTGTTTTTAAAGTTGTCTAATTATTATTGATTTATTTCTTGGTGTGCAAGCCTATTACTTTTTTGTGCTTGTTTTCTTTAGTTTACACAAATGTGTATACATAACCATTGTATTCTTACAATTTGAAGTAATTAAAGAAGAAAACTACTCCTATTTATCCAAAAAGAAGAAGAAAATTTCTCCTATTTTATTTTTCTTCCTCAAATCAACATGGCATCAGAGCAAGAATATCCAGTTTTTTAGGCCTAATTGTTTCTTCTCTCTTTTTCTTCTTTAAAAGGATAATATTTTACATCTAAACTATTAATATTATATATATATATTTAAGAACAGAAAACAAGTCCCTGTATCGTCTCAAATCCTTTTGAAGAAAAACCAGCAGCAGAAGAGAAAGGAAAGAGAGAGAATAGAATATTTAAATCTTGGCTTTTGATATAAAATCAAAATTAAAGAAAAGAAAATTAAATAAAATGAAATGAAATGAAAAAGGTAAAGAGTAAAGTAAAATAAATTTTTAAAAAAATTAGAGCCTTTCAGTTTAGGGTTTGAAGCCCAAAAGGTTTTTAATTAAATCCAAGACACATACCCTAGTCCGACACCCTTACCCTTGTAACATAGTCGCGGAAAATGATAGAAATGTAAACAAGTGCTCCACATCTCACTACTCTTTTTTTTCCTTTTTATATCAACAATCATGTTATATGAAGCTTCCCCCACCCCCAACGATAGAAAAAAACACTGTCCTGACTCCTGAGAGATTTGGAGGGGAAGAGAGAAAGCACGGAACAAGAACAAAAATAACGGCTTGAAGCTGAAGAAAACAGAAACGATTGATACCTGGTAGTTCAAGCCCACATATCAACCGTGGTTTTTCCTCTGGCAAGGCTTCCTGTGTATTATTAACATTATAATTAGAACTCATAATTACAAAGAGATCATGAAATTGCCACTCTATTGCAGCAATTGATCCATAAAACAAAAATTTGTTTGCCCAGCAAATCTTAACCCCAATTCCAATCATAGCCATAAATACTAGAACCCCATAATTTCTAGCTATAGCTTGCTATAACACTGTGTAAGCCAAATATCAAATGTATGCCCTATGTACCTTGATTATTCTTTAACCCAATAGGACCAGACTTGAAGCACAAAACAAACTAACAAACAATTAAATGACCAACTTAGATTCCAAGAAAATAACCTAACCTCCTGGAATAAACTAAAGTTGACAAAATAACATAACAAAACAGGTTTAAAATTGACAAAATTATAGCTCCCAACTGTGCAGTGAAGAACAATGAGTAGAAATGTTCAACAGCTGAACTAATGAGCCTCAACTTCGGTAAATTTTCAGCTCATGGCTATACAATTTTCACATTTAGGTTAAAGGAGGGCTAGTTTAACATTACTATTGCAGTTGAAAAATGCTTTTGAAAAGTGTGGTTAAAAGCCCCTAGCAGTCAGCTTCTTGGTTTGACTCCAAAAGCACTTCCTAAAAGTATTTTGGAAGGCAAAAGCCCGTTACAATTTTTGACAGCAAAAGGAATGCTAAACACCCTTGGTTTACTGTACTACTTTTATCGCATTTTTTTCCATTAGCACTCGGTTTGCAGCCATTAGCTGAAAGAAAAGTACGCGCTGATAGGACGAATCTTACAAAGAACAGTATGTTTTCCACCTTTTTCTTCTTTGATCTAAATATCCAAAATTTGTTGATTTAAATTGTATTGAAATATATATTAATATACATTAAACTAGTTACTTTTTTCCTAACTTATGGGTTACAGTACTTACAGTGACAGCATTAAGCAGAGCAGGGCGCTCATCCATGCTTTCCGCAAGACCAAACCCTCCAATCCAATAACCTGCAAAAGTTAAATTCATTAAATATTTATAACCAGAATGTATATGCAATCAGCTCCATTAATCATGAAGGAGGTTTTTAATGAGGCCTTCAAATCTTATAAAAAAAAAAAAGAATGTATATGCAATCTAAAACAAATACATTAACAATAAGTACTATGAATACGATGAAATCAGAAAGATCTAAGTTTCGAGGTGGAAAGCATGCATATACATTAAGATATGTTGTCTGAAGTTACTAAGCACGGAGACATTAGGAAACCAGGCACATCGCAGTCATACATGGATAAGCTGGAATATGTAACCAACAAGAAAAGGAAGCAGCTAACGCCATCTCCGGCAAAGTAACCATGATAGAACCACCATAACCAAATAGATTTGAGTACTGAATCAGAGATCAACCAAAGAAAAGAAAGGGAAAGTCCAGGATATCATGAAGACGGAAGACCACCATAGCTTTAAAGCCCCAAATTTAAGCCCATTAGGTAATTGTATATTTGCGGGAAAATTAATTTAATAACCTATTTATTTTAAAAAGACATGTAAGAATATTCTTACGCACAATGAAATAACTGTATCTGTTATACTCATGTTATGTGTATGGTCCCTAGATAAGGGACCAACATGGCAACCAAAAGTATAGTTTATATGCATATAGCCAAAGCTACCAAAAGAAGCATTCACAATATCGCCAAATCTTGTGCCCGGTGTTAATGGGGTGTCTGTGCTTCAAGTAGATGGACTTAAGTTTTGGCATTAAACCAAATGAAACATACTTACAGGCTGCATACATTTATGCCGGTCAATATATAATATTAATGGATAGGATGAAATAAGATTACGAAGATGATTGTATTAGATAATGTGAATTGCCCGTCCAGCTCAGTTGGTAGAGCGCAAGGCTCTTAACCTTGTGGTCGTGGGATCGAGTCCCACGGTGGGCAATTCATAATGCTGGAGGTCTCCCGCGGAAGCTGCTCTCAACTTGGCGTTGGGGGCAGCCTACTATCCTACCTCCCCCTTACCCCATTACATATGGGAATAGGGTCAGCTAATATTGTATTAGATAATGTCCATCCAAAATAATGATCGGTTCATGCAAGGATTAGCATGCAACAAACTGTGTTAAAATTTTATAGCCAAAAGAGTTTCATTCATATGCATACCTGATACGTTTCTTGCTGCTACCTCTTGGGCACATCGTCGCCTTTCTTCCAAACTAGAACCCCCAACAATAGCTCCAAAAACAGCTCCACTCGCCTAAATTCCATGAGTTAATACAAGCTTATATGAATCAGCCTAATTATTGCGGTGCATATATCGAAAAGGCCATATCGATGCTATTTTGGAATAATTATTATTCAATAAATTTAAAACTAAATGCATTCCACAGTAAATGCTGAAAATTCTTAACATTCAAACCAATATTAGAGAACAAAAAAATCCAACCTAATATTTGCTTAAATTTTCTCTATAGTTCTACTTGGAGAGAAGATGCTAGACACATTCCTTAAGAAACATTATAGCCTCATGAATCAAAGCACCACCACAGTTTCAGTAAGTTTATGAGAACTCTTAGATTCTTCATATATTTAAAGAGCCAAGATTTTCACACTATGTTAGACTTAGGTGTGAGCATTTACATTTATGTTTAATTTTGCTAAGCTTTTCCATATATTTGGAGGGTCATGTCCCCATACACACGCTTGGGAATGTATTGGACACGAGTGTTGGACATAGGTGCTTCAATAAAAATAAAGAGTCGGGGAAACATAGGTTTGACTTGGTTAATTATCTACCTACTAAACATATATGTATCATCTTCAACTTAGAAAAATGATTGCATGGCTCATAATCTTAACATTATAATAGAAATATGGTTTGACCTAAGTTTACCAAGATTTGATCTTTGCATAAAGCAAGAGTAGAAAAAAAGAAGAGCAGAGCAGAGGATACAATAATTCTCTTCCTAGATCAGAAGAGAGGAAACTAGAATGAAGCAAAGGGATTTTGTATTATTACAATATACAACAATCTCGAAATGTTAGCAAAAGAGAATTCCAAGTTCAATTAAATAGATCACACGGAAGATATGAATGGAAAGGTTTTACTGGCTTCTGCAGATTATGTCAGATTTGATTCACATGGAAACCCTGAGTGATGTAAATTCTTTAAATCGTCTGTGCTTTGCTCTAATGGACACTATTCAATTCCTCAATGGTCTTTTTTGAGGTCTCCACTTAAAAAGAGAACACGTCTTGATTCTCAACCTCATTAATGCACTTAAAAACTATGTCCTTTCAAAGATCCAAAACTGTCATACCTTTGTACTTTGTAGCTCAATTAATTTATCAACCTCTATCTCTCTTTATTATTTTTACTTGAATCAAATTTACTTCATGTTCACGCAAATATCACTTCAATTTTTATAATCTCTTCTTGCATGATGAAACTTTAGAAAACCTTAACTAATTGATCCTCAACTTATAGGTAAGTCATATTTTATCTACTGTTGCAGTCATAAAGCACAGCCAGTGCCATCTTACAATTATGTAAAAACCCTTGAAACATGAGCAATCTAATCTATATCAACTCTGATCCTCTAAACAACATCCTTTCACATCGCCTTCCTAAATCCGCAATGATAAATATGGGCACTCTTAGGAATCTCATGAACATCATTATTAACTTCATCGTCAAAACATGTCCACTCCTTTTTACTAAAATTCTTCTGTTTTCATCGAGTATAACATCAAATCCCTTAAGACTCTCAGGCAGTCCTTCGATATTCTATACAAAGATTAACCCTATGCTTTCTTCCTTCTAAAATTATAGCATCTTTCAAAGAAAAGGAACCAGTAAACTTCATCTAGAAACTAACTTGCTAAAAACTAAACTAAATAGTAATGTGTGTGTATATATTCAAAATCAGGTATAGCCTTGAAATGAAAGATAAGTTAAAATTAACAAAAAGATAGCATCAGAGATAGTGTTTAGTAGCGACACAAATACTGATTATAAATGACGACTTGGGTGTAAGAATTGAATATGGGTGTGTCTGATTCATGTATGTTCTATTTTTTTCTCAAACTTTTCTCGTTTATTTGGAGGATTCTTGGAGGGTCATATCACCAAACCATCGCTGGATAAAGTGTTGAACACACTAACTTCAAGAAAAATGAAGAGTTGGAGTAACATACATGATGATGATTATCATTGGCAAAAACCCAATATCATGTTATTCTAATTGTAGTAAGCTAAAGATGAAAGAGAAAAGGCATTAAAGAAAATTACAGGGCTTAATGCAATGCATTCATCAAGCCATTTGATAGTCCGGTCGACCGAGGTTTTGTTCCTTTTATCAGACACCCAAGCAGGCACTTCATCAGCCAAAGTAGCCCACAACTCTGGTTTCATGGAAGATACCATTTCCGTATATTCAGCAGGTTTGACCTGATAAAGACACCAAAATTTACACACACAAATTATTAGAAAAGCTTTAAAAAAACAAAATGAATATATCTCCGGTTAATTCAATTAAATGCTAGTTTAGCTTAACTGAACTGCATTATAAGATAATTCATTTTTTTGCTTAAAATTGCTCCAGTTAACCGAAACAAATTAAATTACGGTCGATTAATTCGGTTAAAACAAACAAATAAATAATGAACACCTAGATATTAGCAGTGAAAGACTGACGTACCAGAAGACGACCACAAGGAGTCTCGAAAGACGCCCCAGTTTTGTTAGCGGCAGTAGCTTCTGGAAGGCATTGAATGGAATCCCTCGGAAAAGCGGCGAAGCCGCAGTCATGCAAACCAACCAGTTGGTGAAGCCCTCCAATTTTCGATATTGTTTGATGGAAAGGCCTTCCAGGCTGAAATATGCAAAAGACTAAGCGGAGAGTCGAAGAAAAATGAGCAGAAGATATAGTAGAAGAAGGAAAATGAAGGCTTACAAGTGAAGGGGGCTGACGTGGAGCAGACGGGAGTCAGGAGAAGGGAGGGAAGGGAGAAGGTCAGGGGGGATAAACAAGGGCAGGCCTTTTCGAGTGGAAAGGAGAAGCGAAGGCGTGTCGATGGCGGCGGCGACGCTGCTCAGATGGATCACGCCGGCCCGTGCCGTTCCGTTGCTCCATGCTTTCACCGCGAACTTCATGCTGTCGCTGTAACGCTATTGATGAGATTGGAACGGCGATGAAATAAGGTGTCCATGTTAGTTTCAGGGTTTTGTCGAGTTTTTTGTTGCCATTTCTATACAAATTTAAATTCTAAAATAATATTTTCGAATTTAGATTTTTTGGTAAAAATACCTTTTAGGTCCCTCTCATCTATTACTAATTAACCAATCAAGTCACTTTTGCTAACGTCCTTAAATGAAAAACGATATTAATATATAGAAAAACGTTGATCCATGACACGAGCTTGACTTAATCTAAAAATCATCGGAGAATTAAATGAGTCATCGACAGTTTTTTTTTTTCAAAAATTTCTATTTAGAGGAGGAGAAGATAAACTTTTACTCATAATAAATATTAAACTCACACCCTAAGAAAAGGTATCAATTAAAAGATTTTTAAACGCTTATTCTAGAGATTATTAACTCAATAGTCTTCTTTTTAGTTTTATACCTATCTCCCCGTTATGCAATTCGTTTGGTTTTCTATCATATTACTCTGAGAAAATAATCTCAGTGACCAAAAATGTCTTATAATATACTATTTTAACCAACTTTTTTTGGATTTGCCAAAATGACCAACAAAATCGCAATGTGAAATAAAAATCGCAACGCGATCTCCATAATCGCAAATCAATTCCCATAATCGCGTTGCGATTATGAAGAATCGCAATGCGATAGTACAAATTCGCATTGCGATTTTCCAGAATCGCAACGCGAACATATAAATCGCAACGCGATTCTGACTATCGCAACGAGTATCCGTAAAATCGCAATGCGTATCCGTAAATCGCAACGACAATACGTAAAATCGCAACGCGTATCCGTAAATCGCAACGAGAATACGTAAATCGCAACGCGTATCTGTAAATCGCAACGAGAATACGTAAATCGCAATGTGTATCCGTAAATCGCAACGATTACGTAAATCGCAATGCGATTACGTAAATCGCAATGCGAATACGTAAATCGCAATGCGAATCTGTAAATCGCAACGAGATTCTGACTATCGCAATACTGAATTTCAAATTCGCAACTCGATTTCTGAATTCGCAACAGGTTTTAATTTCTCAACACAAATGTTTTGGGTATATAACTACGCAGCAGTAGCAACTCATAACCTAAATCCCTAAATCGCAACTCATTCCATCTATCACTCTCTCCGGCGACATCCGTTCCTATATCCAACGACATCCTTCCCCATCCGGCAACAGGTTTTAGTTTCGCAGCTCGTTTGTTTAGTAAATTAATTTACAATAATGAAATCATCTAATGTTGATCATGTTTGGATAGATTTGTGATTTGGAGGGTCATGGGAGAATGTTCATGGTGTTTTACAATATATGCCTTTACCCATGAATCTTCAACTAAAACTGTCATTAAAAATGTTAACTTATGAAACTCTAATGTTACGTGTTGCAAATAAATTGAACTTAGAGCCCCTAAGTGGATTTAGGCTATCTTATCAGAGAAATGGTAAAGTTTATTTGTTAACCGACAATGAAGATGTTAAACGTTTCATTGCTTACATTAGTGTTTCAAGTGATGATGTTACATTGTATGTTATGCGGAAATGACTATCGCAACGAGAGAATCGCAATGCGAAATGAAAATCGCAACGAGTGACGTTACGATTTCATTTTCGCATTGTGATTCACTCGTTGCGATTTTCATTTCGCATTGCGATTCTCTCGTTGCGATAGTCATTTCCGCGTTGCAATAGTCTGTTTTGCATTCAACATAATACAGATTGAAATCAACAAATCAACTATTACATTTCAATCAATTAAACAAGAACAAATATTATGTGCACATCAATTAAACAAATCAACATTTACAAATCTTCTTTTACAAATCAATTAAACAATCAAAAAATAATAATGAAATCAACTTTTGCACCCATACATCCATTTCACGCAGCTCACTTCAGGATTAACCTGTAGAAACAAACATTGAATCAACAACACTTTCTACACATCTAAAACCTACAAACAACAAATTATTGAATTATAGCTACTTAACCAAATATTTTAAAACCAAAAAGAGTAAATATGTTTAACAACGCTTGCATTTGACTTACAAATTGTTTATGGACACTTTCATAACGCGGATGCAGGTAGGCAGCGTCTCGCATATATCGCTCTAGCCATAAAATACCGAAACCACAAGTTTACTGCACCTCTATCTCTATCGGTGAGAGGTATAAAATGTGTACTTCCTGTCGTCAAACGCTCCAAGCACATGCATACGAGAGGACCATAATCCCTTCTGGCTTCCTTCGTTTGTTATGGCGCGGTCTCGTCTATGATAACTGTAACATTGAACTTCTTTGGCTTCTTGTTTCCAGACTTAGTCCAATAATCAATTGCATCCAAGAATTTAGCCAAATGAGAGCTCCATCCCTTAATCATATCTCTTAAATCAGACAATGATATGTAATTTATCATGCTGTCATATACTATTGTATTTAGGGATGGGAGCTGAAGCTCGATGAGAAGCCGATGAGTACGGTCCAAAACAGGAATAAACACCTGCATCGAAATGTAATAATTCAAATTGTGCACTTATTTATGAACACCTTTAAAATATTTAAACAAATATACTAACCTTATCGACCTCCCACCATGCAGGATAAAGTTTAGCTTGTCCATTAGCCAACACATATGATTCCTGTCGTTGATTCTTCAAGTGAACTACGTGAAAAGACGTCGGCATAATTGTATATCGCGTTTTTTTAATATTTTTCTTCAATTTCCTTACAATTAGAAGGCGTGTCACCCATGCATCAATATGTTGTTTTACAAAAAAAGACATATATTAATGAATTACATAAATTTTTAAAAAAATTAATCAAACTGAAATATAAGAAATATAAGACTTACCCCCTATCGAAATAGCCGTTGTCTTCAACCCCTAATAATATACCCCACCAAGACTGTTCAATCAACAAATGCATATCATCGTTGAGTTTGTATATGTCAGCGTAACACCCTTGGCTCCGCTCATGTAGATAAAAATCAACTACGGTCTTACCCCAAAGGGTATTATCCAAAATTGTTTATGGTAGTTGTTTCCTCTCCACTTCATCTGCCGGAATGGTACTGGCCGGTAACTTATACGAAAGCCAACAGTCATCCATCATGTCCGGCACGTAAGGGGGCTTCTCAATAATTTGATATATTACGTCGTGTGAATCGGGCTCTAGAATGTTAGGAGGGACCTCTTCAACGATGACAGTGGCCTCTTGAACGGTGGGAGGGGACTCTTGAGGGATGATAGGGGCCTCTTGAACGATAGGGGAGGCCTCTTGAACGATGACAAGTGAGTCGGGCTTTTTCTTACGGATTCTTCGCACTATTGGGGTGAACGGAGACGTAATGGCACGTGCACGTCGTCTGATGCGTGAACTACGTCTTGCAAGAAAAACTCGACGTAGAGCATCCACCTTAGCGGGCCGCTAAAAATAAATTAATACATAAATCAGTAAATAAACAGACATGATATTAAACAGTGAGAACAAAGACAAATATATTTCAAACTTGCACGGTATTCACTCAAGTCATTATTATATCATTGTTCACAAAATGCATCAGATAACATTCCAGAAGTAAGCACTTATATAAACATTTAAAAGGACAACATATAGGTTTAGTGCAGGTTCAATGACAACATAAAGAGTAGTAGTTTATTCTTGAAACTTAAATTTTCAACACTGTGAAGTTAGTATTTGTCTTTTGGTTGAAGTAATGCAATTCATTCAAGTTTCAATTTGCAGAAGAAGAATAGAATCTGAAACTTAAAATCGCAACGCGAAAATGACTATCGCAATGCGAATTTGACTATCGCAACAAGAGAATCGCAATGCGAAATGAAAATCGCAACGCGATTATAGTTTCGCGTTGCGATTTTCATTTCACGTTGCGATTTTGTCGTTGTGATTTTCATTTCTCGTTACGATTCTCTCGTTGTGATTCATTTCGAGTTGCGATAGTCATTTTTCAAGTTGCGATTTTAAGTTTCGTGTTGCGAAAGTAAACTATTTCTTCTTCTGCAAATTGAAACTTGAATGGATTGCATTACTTCAGCCAAAAGACAAAACAAAGACAAATACTAACTTCAAAGTATTAAAGAATACACAGTTTAGCAGAATTGGCAGCAACCGAACAAATTTACTTTCAACCAAAAGACAAAACAAAGACAAATACTAACTTCACAGTGTTAAAGAATACACAGTTTAGCAGAATTGGCAGCAACCGAACAAATTTAATTTCAACCAAAAGACAAAACAAAGACAAATATTACCTTCACAGTGTTAAAGAATACACAGTTTAGCAGAATTGGCAGCAATCGAATAAATTTACTTCAACCAAAAGACAAATACTAACTTCACAGTGTTAAAGAATAAATAGTTTAGCAGTATTGGCAGCAACTGAATAAATTTACTAAGCAATCTAAGTGAAATGGTTAATCTAAGTGAAATTACGAGTAAATTTATCATCAAGTTAAATATGAAAAATCTTAAACTTACCTCGTTGCGTAGAGTATGAACCTCATTCTGCAACGATACTACCATCTCACGTAGAGCGGACACCTCACCACGTAAAGTAGACACCTCCACAAGCCATGCACCATCGTTATCGCGTAGAGTACCGATCTCCTCACGCAAGGCATTGACCTCATCACGTAACTCCCTTGACTCATCCCGTGGAGGTGGAGAACAGGGAGATAGAAGTCGTTGCATCTTTGCCGGTCACCTATCATGAGGTGATGGTGGAGAAGAGGCTCGATGATGTGACGGGATAGGTGATGGCTCTCGTTGTAGAGGTGTATAGTCGGGTCGATCAGGTGATGGCTCTGGGTGAGGTGATGGCTCTCGAAGTGGAGGAAGTGGAGGTTGCTCATCATTCGTGCCATCAAGAAAACGCTGACTAGCTTGCCACCAATCAGTGGCAAGCTCAGCCTCTGTGGGTGTCAGTCTCTGTAATGGAGTGTTGGCCTCCTAAAAATATAAAAACTCAAACAAAGTTAAACGTCTACTATTAATAACTTGTTTATATATGATAGTATTTGTGTTAACTTACATTATTTATTGTCGCATATGATATTAAGTCTTCCCAATCCAACAGACGTTTCCTCTTCCAGGAAATAGCCCTAGGAATATCATTTGAAGTTTTTAATGCATATGTTTGCATGCTGGGAAAGCCTCGAATATCCAAATCTACAAACAATATAATAACAAACATTAGTAATTGTTAAATAATTAATTATAATTTTGAAAACATTATATAGAAATTCTTACCTTAAAGGCCCAAACAAAGCCTGACAAAGTGTATTTCGACCCATCGCCACACAAACTTTTGCGGTCATCAAAGGCAGACGACAACTTAGTCCAGGTAGCTTTCCATATATACGAACCCCACGGAAACAGATTCCATGCATTTAGGTCCTCTACCAATAATATTAACTCATGAGGAATAGGTTGTCTGGCCTCTCTGCCTAAAAAACCGGCATACAAAAGTACTAGAAGGCATACTCGGACAACATCGACGTCATTCATCCGAGTAAAATCATATTTCTTATTAAACAATTTATTCAGGTCGTCGACGTGTAAGTTCGGCTTCTCTATTGACTCATCAGGAAAAACCCGTGATAACCATGATGGGCGGGTGATATGACGAGTGTACCGACCTACATCATCGTGTCCGAATCGTAGACCAGTGATTAAGCAGAACTCCTTCTGCCCAAAACAAGTATACGCCGGTGGAAAATGAAACCATATATCTTCCTCACCACGTTGTATATTGTCGGGTAGATCGCTAGTCATGGTCTGAAGCCACAAATGGGTCAAATTAGCATCTCCACCCGGATGTTGTACCCTCAGCCATGGCCCGAAGCAGGTTTCCTCAAACAATTTTCTTTGTGCATGTGAAAGCTTCGAAGAAATTGTAGTGGCTAGGCTAACTTTATTCCTTAATGTCAATGAAGCCGAAAAAAAATTCTACAAAAACAATAAACATACCAAGTTAGATATACCAAAAACTACACTGTGAAGATATACCAAAAACAATAAACATAAAGAGTAGTAGTTTATTCTTGAAACTAAAATTTGCAACACAGTTTTGTCTTTTATTTGAAATGAAAATCGCAACGAGAGAATGACTATCGCAACGCGGAAATGACTATCGCAACGAGAGAATCGTAACGCGAAATGAAAATCGCAATGCGATTTTGGTTTCGCGTTGCGATTATCTCGTTGAGATTTTCATTTCGCGTTGCGATTTTCATTTCTCTCGTTGCGATAGTCATTTTCGTGTTGCGATTTTCATTTTCATGTTGCGATTTTAAGTTTAGAAACTATTCTTCTTCTGCAAATTGAAACTTTAATGGATTGCATTACTTCAACCAAAAGACAAAACAAAGACAAATACTAACTTCACAGGGTTAAAGACTAAACAGTTTAACAGTATTGGCAGCAATTGAATGAATTTAATAAGAAATCTAAGTGAAATGGTTAATCTATTATTGAAATTACCAGTAAACTTATCATCAATTTCAATATGAAAAACCTAAAATAATGTAAAAATTTCAAAATAAAAATAATTAAAAAAACTAACCATCGAAGGTTGATTTTCCATTTCTGAATGATTGTGAGGGATTTCTGACCGTGAATGGTTGCGAGGGATTTCGTCGGGGATGGGGACGGAAATCTTCGGAGATGGGGACGGATTTCACCGTAGAGAGTGAGAGATGGAGATGAGACTGAGTTGTGATTTTAGGTTTTAGGTTATGAGTTGCGATTACGGGATATACTGTAGACGGTTCAGTGTTCCGATAATTAATATTCGTGTTTGTAATTTGAAAATAAAATACGCGTAGCGACTCTAATGGCGCTTTAAAAATCGCGTTGCGATTTATGGATACGCGTTACGATTTTACGTATTGTCGTTGCGATTTACGGATACGCATTGCGATTTACGTATTCTCGTTGCGATTTACAGATACGCGTTGCGATTTACGTATTCTCGTTGCGATTTACGGATACGCGTTGGGATTTTACGGATACTCGTTACGATAGTCAGAATCACGTTGTGATTTATATGTTCACGTTGCGATTTTTATATTCGCGTTGCGATTCTGGAAAATCGCAATGCGATAATGTGAATTTGTACTATCGCATTGCGATTGGGAACTGATTTACGATTCTGGAGATCGCGTTGTAATTTTTATTTCGCATTACGATTTTGTTGGTCATTTTGACAAATCAAAAAAAAATTAGTTAAAATAATATATTATAAAACATTTTTAATCACCGAAGTTATTTTCTCTCTTACTCTTGTAGTCTTGTTTATAACGTACAAGGGCCCGTTTATGCATTTATTAAGTAAATCGACCGAAATATAATCTGATGTATAGTACAAGAATGGTACTTTTACCTCGAAACCCGGATTTACTTTTTAATCCATGGAAAGCATTACTCTTGCAACGAAACAGAAGGCATTATCTTATTTTGCCTTTAAACCTGGAAAAAGAAGGAAAGAAAGAAGCAGCAGTGAAGTTGAGCACAGGACATTGATGGGAAATCCAAAGAAAGAGCTGCTAAGCAAAGCGCCATGGAGGGGCGACGACGACCAAGAAAAATCCAAAACATTCGATGATGCCAAGCTCAAGGTTACCAGTCAGCCGGGCTCCACCCCCAAAATGCACGTCCCTCGCCGCAAGTCTGCAGCTTCCCAAATTGACGACGACACCCTCGAGATTGACCCTGAACTCCGTTACAGCTTCCAGCGCAACTTCAAGGTCACTTTCTCTTTCGCTTCATTATGCGTTTGTAATTATAATTGATCATAAAAGAAAGCCAGTTTGAGAAATCAATGTTACATTTGATGGGTTGGTTTCTTTTTTCAGAATTTGTTCAGACATTTGCTCCTGCTAGTCTAATTGTGGTGCTTATTGACTTGTTTTCTATTTCAGAATCATGATAGACTAAGATATTTTTATATTCAAACAATAAGTAAATAAAAAAATGGTTGGGGAGTGGTAATGAGTTCGGTGTCTCATAAGAAAAGTCTCGGTTAGGGAGAAAACAGTCGTCAAGAGAGCTTTTTTTTGGTGCGGGGTTTGATTTTACTCGACTTAGGATTAGTCAGGTTCAATGTGCTACCGAATATCAGGAGTTCCTATATGAAACAATCCTATTTCTTAAAGCAAAGAGGAGCGTATCTGTTTGGTTTTCCCCCTTGTTCTCTTGAGTGTTTCTTAAAGCAATGGAAAATGAACAATCCAGTAATCATTTTAAGGCATGCAGTTATTCCTTATTCTTGCATCAGTCAAAGTTTAACAGTTGCGAAATTAATCATAAGGTTGGCTTGGATTGTAGAATCTTAATTTGGGAATACTTTGTACCAAAGTGTGGAACCTTATGGAGATTATTATCATGGTTGTTCTTCAAAAAGCTACTGAATCTAAGCTTTCTCTTAAATCTTAACCCTTTTCTAGTTATAGAATATTGTTTCATATATGATTCAATATTGAAACCTTGTGTGGTGATATAAGAAATACGATTGTTTCATATAGGAACTCCCGATCCTTGGTAGCCACATTGAACCTGACTAATCCGAGGTCTATCATTTTTTGCATGAAGTAATCTCCAAAATCGTTTTCTTTAATGGACCTTGGTAAAAGAAAAAGTCAATTATCATTAAAGTTCAATCAGTAGATACTGTTGGATATCACTGGATTAGTTATATATATTGCACTATTTTCATAATTATAGTTGGATACTGTTGTTGAAACAAATAAAAGTTTGCCGCATACCAAACTTCCATTTCATTAGCTGACAAGTCTAAATGCTGTTATCTATTAATTTTTGTCTTCTATATATACTTATTGAATGTAAATTGCATTTGGACATGTTTCTTGGCTACCATGACAATTATTGTTCATTTGCCTCTTAGATGAGTATTCTGATATTTTCATGCTCATGCAGTTTCTGCAACGAGTTTTTAGCATAGATATTGTTGTGAAGCCTCTTCCACCTGCAATGGCATACAATGTTTCTTGCAACTTGAGCTTCTTCACACGCATATTCACTCCGTTTTTCGATGAGATTTTTTATTTGAAAATAAGTTATTGGTAGCGCAAAGATTGAACATTACTATCAATGAATTATGCTCTGTATCAAGGTTGTCTTGGATTCCCGTCCTTTTCTTCATTTTGCTTTGAGATTACTCATTTCTAACATTCATGAATTTGGAGATATGACTCACCAAGAGTCCCCCAAATACATGTAAATACTTGGGAAAATTTTGAATAAATATCCATATCAAACACACTCATGTCTGACACTAACAATCAAGTTCTTGTAACATATATTTTTGGGCCATGTCGGTATAGAGACACGATTCCTTCTCTTTTAATCACAGATGTCTCTTCCAAGTCGAGTCTAATGTTTTTGATCAGTAGCTTACGGCATACTTTAGTTGCAACCCTGGACATTGTAAATTCTAAATTACAGTGCTAGAATTTTTGTTCAAGTAACCAAATCTAGCAAATAATCACCAATGCTATTTGGATTCTTGAGTTGGATATGATATATGTCTGACATGAGTATGTTCAGATTTTAATAAGTTTTTTCCATGTAATTGGAGGATATTTGAAAAATCATATCCCTGTAGTGATGTTTGAATATAAGGTAGATACAAATGCTTAAACAAAACTGAAAAGTTGGAATGACTGATAATGATCATCTTTGCAATCGCCTAGAAAGCTCTGGGCAGTCGATGGTCACCAATTTCTTTGAAGTTACACACTTCCAGTAAACATCATAATTCGAACTTTTTGGATTCGTATTGCTGCAGATCCAGAAGGTATTGCAAATGCACAGAAATCACTAGGGTTGGGACAGGAAGAAAAGGCTTGTCGTGTACGCTAACTAGATGAAGCTGCAGGTCCAGAAGGTATTGCAAATGCACGGAAATCACTAGGGTTGGAACAGGAAGAAAAGGCTCGTTGTGTACGCTAACTAGATGAAACCGACTTTTATGATTTGATTCCTTTGTAGGTTAGGTTATGTAAACTCCATGACCAAGAGCAGAGACGTGGGAAATGCAACTCTCAAACTTTATTTTTAAACTGTAGATTTATATTCTCAGTTATATTTAGTAAAATCAACAAAATTCTGCTTGAAGGTGCCAACTATTGACCGTGAACCAGCCTCTAGTAGAACTCTCCTAGGGTTGGGTTATCCAATATTTGGAGTGATGGACAAAACTATTAGACTTGAAAATTGTCAATAGTGGGATGGGGTTTAACATTCAAACTTGAGCTTGGATTGTCTTTACCCATTTTCAAAGTTTATATAACATTATATTATTATGTAATTTATATACTGCATCAAAAACTTGTACGTTATGTAATTTATATCATATTAAAACTTGTGTTGTTCATGTCTAAAATTTTAAGATTATTTCATGCCAACAAAAATCTAAAATATAATCATATTGTATCAAACATTACTGAGTCTATGCTAAGAATTAGAGGAAGTATTGAAGTAGCAGTGAAAGCCAAAAAGTAATGTTTGCTCCTAATTAAACAGAAAATACATTTAAAGAAAATAAGCCAAATAGTGACCGATACATAGTAGCAACTAATTCGGTTAAAGATCAAAGATTGGCAAGCTGCTGAATGTTGATGGGATAAACAATGGAAGGATCTCCATTGAAGGCCTTCCTCGCCATTATGATGTTCACCTTTTCAGTCGGATGGAATGCATCCCAAAACACGTATTCATCTCTGTTCTCACACGGTGTTTGGAACGGAAGGCACGTTATCTGTCCTCTGTTCCGTCCGATGCCACAACACCCTCGGTCCACCACGCTGAACCCATATGTTCCGGCATTGGCCACAATGTCTTCGAAAAGGCGAGCGATGTCTACGTAGATAAACCTGGCACCCGGCAGATCAGCATTAAGGCTATTCATCATCGTCTTAACGTTGACATTGAAAGGTAGAACCAGCTGGTTCACTTCTTCCGAGCAGCCATCGGCTGTGCTCTGTGCTAAAATGCTTGGAATACACCCCATTCTTCCTAACCCCGCTAACACAAACTTACGTGCTCCCAGATTGTAAAGCGTCTGCATATCAATACAAGAAGTCAATTTCAAAATCCTCGGTTCGAATGAACTGAAATGTAACACAAAGTATGACATGATATGTCGCATCCCTAGAAATTTCTAATATAACTTTCTAAGTTTACATTTCCCGATATAAATCATTTTAAAATAACTTCTTAAATTTACCCTCATTGATATAAAATCATGCGTTCATCCGTGAATATGATCATGGTTGCGAATGAAGTGATTAACGTACCCTGAGTTGCTGAGTGTATTTTTGAACCAAGAGATCAGCATATTGTTGACCATTGTACTGATCTTTGGTCGGGTAATTAGGCATAAGGTAATTGTTGAGGTAATCATTGCTTCCCATCCCAACAAAGAAAATGCATTTAGCAAGTGCTTCTGCTGCATCGATTGCACCCAGATTGTCCGTAATCTGATCCAATGTGGTCTGGAAATTCCGAATTTGTTGATCAAATGGTATTCGACTCACCTGAATTAAAACAAAATACACAAAGATAAAACTCATTTCTCATATGTTCATCATTTATTGCTCGACTGCATGATAATTTTTGTGCCATGCTGCATGCTCTATGAACAAGCAAAATAAGGTAGACACTAAAGGTCTGTACAGTATCAGATATTAATGGGCTACAGATAATAGCAATTCTATGAGTCAAACTGCATTTATGATTCCATCGGCAAAACTGCATGGAGTTGCAGGCCAGATTTATTTCTAGGTTATAAGAGTAATATTTGCCTAACATCCCATATCACGTGAAATACTCGACTCCTTCCTTTTCTATACAAATGACCCAACATTACTAAATTAAATTGTTTGAAAAAATAGATATAATCACATGCATGTATGGGAGAAATGCTTACAAAGTTTCTTCCGGTGATGTCAAGGATCCCGGAGGCCGCGGAGGCGTAGTTGACACCGTGAAGAACTTGATCGCCGGAAGCTTCAGAGTATGCAGGAATCAATGGAAGCCCAAGCAGCTCAGCTGCATGTTCATGCACATACATTAGCTACAATTTGTTTTAAATGGAGAGATAATGAGTGTTTACTGACTGACCAATTTCGTCAACCATGGTATAACCATTGGAGAAACGACCGGTAGGACCGCCATTGAAGTCGATCCCATAAGGGAAATAGTTAGCCTTTGCAAAAGAAGGAAGTTCATTGTTGTTGCCATTGTCGATGAGAGAATCTCCGAACACGAACATCGCAGGCACCATTTCTCTTCTCTTCCCACCATCAGGCAAAAAAGGGTTCTCTCCTTGCCCTGAAACAACATCGCTCAACGCCAAACCTAAGAAAACAACCATGCAATATATCAACAACTTCCCCATTGCCATTGCCATTGTCAATGCCAAAGCTTGAAGCTTTTGTGAAGAAAGAAACTTTGAGGGATAAAAGACAGAGAATGAGGAGTTCAGTGAGAGAGCTTAGAAGTAGAGAAGTTGGTTTATAAATAAGAGAGATAAGGTGGGTAGTTGGAAAAACAGTAAATAAGTTCATGTGTATCGGTGCAGTGCAGTAATTACTTTCTCTCTCATAAACCCAACATCTCCAACAATTCCTTTGCAATTCTTTTACTCCCATCTATGGCATTGACATTAACGATTTCATGCAGATTACTGCTTGTTTCATACTTCACACAGTAATCCATATAATGTTAAAGCAAGGGTTGACTAGGGTTTATGTTCAACCTCATCTATTCTAAAGTTACTCAGGTAAAAAAGTAAAGTCGTGTTATGAGTGTTGATGAGAACAAACCGGTCTCAATGGTCGTAAGTGGTTAATTATTATTTTTTAATTTGAATAGATAATTGTGAATAGTAAATAGACGATCGTTGATTGATGTTATGGTATTCTATCTCTATAAAAAGGTAGATAAGAGATAAACGTGAGAGAGATAGTTTCATTTTTTTCTCTTATTCTTGATTGAAAGTCTTTGTAATGATTCTTAGTATATGTGATAGTCGTATAGTCATTATGACTACTAGTTGGTTGGTATATTAAATGGATATGGTCAGTTGACATTAGATTTAATTCTGATATATCATATGAACTTAATAGATGTCATGTTAAAAGATTTTAACATATCGAGAGATATTAAGTGTCTGATTTTCTTTAAAAATACTTTCTTGGGATCTTGACTATGAGATTTTTTCATAAACTTTGAGATGCGAAGATCATTCTACATAAGTATAATAGAGTTTATTGAATTAATTCAAATCAAAATTTTCATTAATTAAAATTTTATATATATACATGTACATGTACATAATTAATTTTAATTTTTTTAATATTTTAATCTTTAATTTCAATTTCAATCCTAAAAACCCCATTTGAATTTGTTGGATCCACTCCAAGCTTTTACAGTTAGATTAAATTTTAAAAAATGGTAAATCAAAATTTGTTGTAAAAGCTTAGGAGTAATAAATGGGTAAGTAAATCACATGTCATGTACCATCCCAATTTATGACAGGTGACATTTGTAGTGCATGAAATTGGAATGTGGATATGTGGAGGAAGTTGAAGCAGTGGGGACAAAACAAGGATTATAAGCAATTAATGAATTGCAAAGTCAACCGGCAAGGAAGAAGTTGTAATTCGATGGTAAATGTTTCAAACACCCATTAATTGACAGTTACGGGTAAATCCATATACAAACTTTTAAGCAAATTTGGTAATAACATGGATGGTTGCTCAATTAATCAAATTAATTTGTTTCTCATCTTTAGCTACTTGACGAATTAATTTAAATTAGGCCATGTTTTAAAAAAATTAAATTTGCATGATCCAAACGATCTCAATCAGGAACGGAGTCAGGATTAAATATTGACAGCGGCCAAAATATTAAATTATTTTAAAAAAATAAAATGACTTATCATGTATTTATACTTAAAATTCAGCACAAATCAATCGACTTTAATGATTAAGGGATTGTTGTTATCCTTGAGGTCCCAAGTTTGAGTATTGTGTATGTAAGAGAATGATCGTTTATTGTCAAATGATTGAGTCTTTCTACATATAGTGTCTTATATTCACCCTAGATTTATATATAAAAAATACTCAAAATTCACAAGATAACACCTAATTTGTCTAATATTTAAACTTACAATGACTTAAATTGTTACTAGACCAAAATTTTGAGAACATGAGGTTATCATTATTTAGTTCGCCCCCTACTCGATTAAATATATAATAAATTCTTATATTTTTTAAATAAAAATATTTATTTTTACATGAACTAAAATACTATTAGACCAAACTTAATCTAATATACTAATTTTTTAACAGTGGTCGGGGCCCCTTTAGGCCCCAATAAAGCTCCGCCCCTGATCTCTCAATGGTTAAAAAACTGTTGTTATCTCCTGAGATTTTGAATTCAAACATCACGTATGCAAAGATATATGCGATCATTATTAAATGGTTGAAAATTTTTAAATAAATAAAACCTTATATTTATCCAAATTATAAAAAATAAATATTTTAACTTTTTAATCTAGGTCTATTTTTACCTTGATTCAATTGATATAATAATAAAAAAATATTTTTATATCACTATATCAGATCAAGTAAATAACTCAATCATTAAATAGGTCTGCCTGTTGTCTATCCTTCTTCATTTTCTTTTTCTTTTCTTCAAATTTCTTCCTATTTTTTGTTTAAAATTTAAAAAAAAAAACGTTTGAATCAAATATTTATGGACGAACGTGAGGAGAATAAAACTCTAAAATTCCATTAAGATTCAACCTAACAAAACCTTAGCCCATTGTTGTTTTTTATCCTATCAATAAAACGAAACCGTTTCACTAGAACATTGAAAAATATATATATTAATTTTACTTTTCTCACAATAAATATATTTTATTATTAATGGGAATTAAAGATAAAAACACCTACATAGATAAAAAGTGAGAGAATCGTATGGCTTGATCACATCAAATCATGTCATTACAAATAAAGAAACAAAAAATAATAATTATTCGACTATTCAATAAACAAAATCACGAAATTATATTGACAAAGCACTCAACATAATAATGAACTCTAAAATGATTGACGCGTATTAATACGATTATTATTTTGTCCTCAAAGATGAAAAACAAGACCCTTTCTTTCAACAAAAATTCTCATAATTCTAGTCCACTTATTTCCCACCTTCCATGATATCTGTACAGTCCACAAATTTCTTTTGATCTCCATCTTAGTTTAAATAAAAATAAATGTTTAAATTATATTTTTTTTATATTCAAACTTTTTTCTAGTTAATCTATGTATCTAACATTACAAGTGTTAAGCGTTACAACTTTAGGTGATTTAGCCGTAACGGTCGTTAAAATATTTCGTTACACAATACTGTCACGTTTTGATAATGTTCAAAATTTTATTTTAAAAAAATTAAATATTTTTTTTAAAAACAAATCTAAAATTTTCAAAAAAAACTTAAAAAAAAACCTTGAAAACTCTAATTTTAACCCTTAAATTCACGTCGACCTTCACTCTTTATCGCTGCCGACCCTTCATCCGTTCTCACCTCCATCCAACGACCAATTATCTCATTGAAATCCACCGGAATAGGAGCCAATCGATCTTATATTACGATAATGATTTATCGTAACTTTTAACCCTTTGTTGATTCGTATTTAGAGCACATGAATACATTAAAAGACAAGTCGAATCATCTTTGGTGTACTTGCATAGTCTTTTTCTTTTCTATATACATTATATTTGTGACGAAACCTAAATATCATAATTCTAATTTATAATTAATTTTATTTGTTGATCATATTGAGTGTCTTGAAATTTTGAACTTAAACAATTATATTTGTAAGATTTATGTACGTTATCAAATATTAATAATTAAAAAAGACTATAAATATAATACTTTATAATTATTTTATACTATTAAAGTATACAACTTTATTTGGATCTTCTTGTTAAATATCTTTGATTTCGACGTAGCAAACAGTATTCTTTCTATATAAAACTAAACTTTTTTATTTGTCATGGCCTGGGCATGTTTCGCATGCATTTTGTCAATGGTGTTTTAGTTGCTACGTGCAAACAGAAAAATTTAAGGAATAAAGATTTGTCAAATTTTGTCAATGGTGTTTTAGTTCTTTGAGAATGATGATCATCAAAAGAAGCAGTAATATTTATAAAACTCATTGTCTCTGTTAAATGAGACATTTTATGAAGTGATAAATGAGTGGTGAGCGAACAAAATTATTTGATAGGCTACTTCTCTACACAATTCTAATTATATCCGCAAACAATATTTTACCAACAAGGGAGATTTGACTATACTTAGCCACAGACAAATCAATTAGAAAACAAATGTAGTTTGCGTGAACACCAAAATGACCGTAAAAATATGTTAAAATTGCACCAAACAGTAAAGACCGTGTCACAAGAGTAGATAAAACGTATACCACAAAAATAAATAAAAATGTATCACGAAGACAGAGATTCTTAGTCAATTATTTAAAAAAAAACTAAAAAAAGAAATTGTAAAAAAAAAATAAGAGAACTAATAATTATCGATAATAAACAATCAGCATTAGAATTGACGCCGTCGTCGGTTAATCAAAAATCAAAGAAAAAATACCACATAAAAATATTAAAAAATAGATTAGAAAAAAAAGGTATTTTATCGAATTAAAATTGTCTGTAAGATCACAAAAATATTACATTTTTTATCGATAATGGAAATTTTATGTGGAAATCAAGCCTTCCTCTCTGACTCTCTGGCTTTGAACAATTAATATACCAAAAAAATAGTACTGAAAAAGATTTGTCAAAATTTATAGAATTGAAAACTAAAGAAAAGAAACGAGGGGTGTAAAAATAGGCCACCTCGAAAGATATCTATGTTTTCGTATACTATTTCAAATTTAACTCTAATTTTATTATATTATTTATTTTATATAAAATATAGGATAAACTATATAAATGGTCATTAATCTTTTAAAACTTATATATTTTTAGTACAATTTAAAACTTATAATATAATAAATGAATTTTAATTCGTTTTTATTGTAATGACTACTATTAAATATTGTTGAGAAGTATTGTCTTGACATGTTAATATCATCTTATTCTCAAAAAAAAAAAAAAACCCTAAGATTTTTAGACCTTAGATCGACAATTATCGTTTCTCATTTTATCATATTTATTAGATAATTTATAAACTCGTGTTGTGCCATTAAGCCAAAACTTTATGAATAAAAGTGTTGTAAAAAAACATGCACCAAGTAATATGTATGTGGTACAGATTGGTATTAGTCAGCAGAGACAGATACCAAAATCGAAATTGTTTCTTCAAATGAACAAAACACTTAAACCCAAAAGATTTAAAGTCATAAGCCTTCGGATAAATTATGACATCATTATTAACG